GCTTCAAAGACCTAACTGCAGTGCATGCGATACCCGTATGCTCATTTCCCGAACGTTACACTGAAGCACTGCAGTCAACGAAAGTGCAGATTGGCGCTGCACTCGGGTTGAAATTTCCCATGTTTGCTGGGTCTGGGTGCAACACTTCTGCCGACGTGGGCCGACAACAAGCTGCCGTGGGCATTGGCATGGCTAACAAGTCCCACGCTGAAGTGGCCCCACACCAGCAACGTTAGCTACACCAGCCGCATCACCCCTGGTGCCATTGTCTTCAGACACCCTTCAACCGGGGCACCCGGCTATGAAAAAGATGCTGCTGCTCCCCAGTGCAGTACCTACAGAGACAGTACCCGCGCCGTGGACAACAGAGCCTACTGGCCCCCTGCGCCGTCAGGGTTTTCAACCCCCAGATTTCACCCCGTCTTCTGGCTACCTTCTGGGCCTTTCTGAGAAGACTGCTTCTACCTCTGCAGTTCACCAGCCCTCTTTTGCTGTATCTTTACTGTAGTATGAGCAGGCGTCGACCGCTGGCTCTGCAACCAGTTCTCCCATATGCAAGAAACACAAACATTCTTCGTCGTCATTTATGGGGTCTAAAGTTAAGAAGTTTCACTCCTTACAGAAGGAGGACATATCGGCCTACATCATGTCAGTGGTCCACATGCTCTCAGAGAAGCTCTCTTCTCTAGCCAGCTGTCTAGAGCCCAACTCTGCTTCTGCGGTGACGGCCCCAGATCTGGATCTTTTGCCGGCGCAACGTTATCCGCATCCAGTTCTACATCTGGATCTACATCCGCATCCTAACCTGCATTCATCGGCAATCTGATCTTCATATGATGATTTCGCCCCTTCGACTTATCCAGGTTTGGGTGCAGACTACAGCTCACCTCCTGCTCTGCCCCCTAGCCACCCAACAAGACATAATGACGTTCCTCCTTCCTCAGATCAACCCTTGATGGAGTGGGATACATCCTCTGAAGATGAGGATATCTCCTCTGCAGCCAACCTTAACCCTCCTGAGGCAAGGCTCAGTCTTCTTCAGAAAGATATGATCCACATATTAGGCCTGCCTTCCAATCAATCTACGGCTGAGGCCTCTTCATATGCTTCCTTAAAGCGCCATCCGGCTAGGTTGGAGGCATCAATACCAATTTTTCCTGAACTTCCACTTGACCGGTCATGCGTTGAGATGTTTAAAGTTCTCGCTGGTGCCAAACAATGGCGTCCATACCCGCCCAGGGCCTCTTCTTATTTCCGGTTTGCTAGGGAGGACTTTGATAATTTCCTCTCTGTCCCTGAGATTCCAACGGAGGCTAAAGATAAACTTTCCTCTGATGCTCACAAGTCTACAGGAAAGTCTCCATTTAAAGACAAGGACAAGTGTTTTGTTGAGTCTACTCTTGCTAAACTCGTCAAAGCCTCATGACATGGCCTTCGCTGCACCGTATACTCCTCTCTGAGTATTTGGCCTGAGCGTGTGACAAAGATTCACCAGTTACTCCGGACCTGGCAGCTTTTGCACTTCGAGGGCTTAATAAGAACGTCAACTCTATCTTCGAGCAGTTCATTTAGATCTCCATTCTAGTCACCTCTGCACGCAGATCCAACACTTTGGACACCATGAACATTCTCTATGAGGGAGTCAAGTCAAGACTTCAAGAACTTCCTCTTTATGGCAAAGACCTTTTTGCGGAGAAGTCATGAAGATGATGGAGTCTGAAGTTAAAAGTATTGACACAACACGTAAACTTAGCTTCCGTGACCTTCCGCTGGCTGCTCCACCTCTTACATCCCGTCCCGATGATCGCCAGGCTCGATCCTTCAGACACCCACGTCAGAGCAGTTATGGTTCCTTTCGCCCCTTTTGTCAACTTTTCACCTCATCTCGGCCTACCAAGCCACCCCAGAGGAGCTTCAAAGGAAGAACTACCGAGCTGCACTACCCCCGACCTCCTGGGGGTAGGCGTCGCTGATTATTCAGATTTGCCTCCACTGTCCAATCTCAGACCAGTCGGTGGGCGACTTCAACTCTTCGCAGGGTCTTGAGAGAAAGTCACATTGGACAGCTGGGTGCTTACAACCTTTCCTTACGGATATGCCCTTGAATTCACGAGCACCCCTCCGGCTGTACATGTACCTATCCTTCGCCCGACTTCAGTTCCTACCGACAAAAACAAATGACAGGCACTGGAGTCCGAGATAGACTCTCTCCTCCGGAAACGTGCTATCCGCCTGGTTCCCAAATCTCAAGCAAACAAGGGCTTCATCTCAACATTCTTCCTCACTCCAAAGAAAGAATTCAACAGCTGGCAACCTATTATCAACCTCAAACCTCTGAACTGCTTTATCCGCCTGAAAAAATTTCGCATGGAGACCCTTCAGACGGTAACCCAATCTCTACAGGTTTCATGCTTGGCCTCTTCCATAGACTTGAAAGATGCCTACCTCCACATTCCGGTTCACCCTCAAAGCTACAAATACCTTCGCGTTCTATACAACAGGAATCTTTTCGTATTCACGGCTCTCCCCTTCGGCCTCTTCACTTCACCGAGGGTGTTCTCAAGGGTTGCAAAGATCGTTGCTGCTCACCTTCAAAAGCAGGACATCATGCTGTTCTAGTACCTGGACTACTGGCTGATCATCGGCAGATCATTCAATGAAGTAGAGGTTTCTACCCACCTTAATTACGATGTCACAAATCAGCTGGGCTTCATCATCAACCACGAGAGGTCAAATCTCGCCCAATGCAACACCCGACGTATCTAGGGGCGTCTATCGACCTTCAACGAGGCGTAATCTCACCGACGACCGAACGCATCGACAATCTTCTTGACTGCATGAAAGTCTTTTCTACCGAGCAGTCTGCTCTGGCCCGTGCCTGGCTTCGTCTCCTGGGCTTGATGGCCAGCATGGTGGACCTCATTCCCCTCTGCAGGCTGTGCAGCTCCAAGGGAGTCACATCAATAAGTTGGAACTTCAGGTCATATTCAATGCACTGAAAGCTTTCCACCCAAGCATCATAGGCAAATGAGTCCTCATTTGCTTGGACAACTCCACAGTGGTGTCATACATTAATCGCCAGGGAGGCACACATTCTCCCTGCCTATGCCTCCTGACGAGACAGATATCGTTTGGGCCCAGGATTATGGCATCCGCATCAAGGCGACTCATATTCCTGGTGTCGACAATTCCATAGCAGATGCTCTCCAGGGAAAGGTACATCCCACGGAGTAGACTTTGCACACCAGTTTAGTCGAACAGATCTTTGCCGAAGTAGAAAAATGAACATTGATCTTTTCGCCTCAGTGGAGAATGCCCAACTTCTAGTGTTCTGCACCAGATTTTACCACCTGCAAGCCTTGGCAATGAATGCTCTTCAACTCAGTTGGGAAGGGAGGCTTTCCCTCCAATATCCCTAATACCTACAGTTCTGTTCTCCTCCCCCACAGAAATGTGGGTGAGGTCTGCTATTGAATACCTACCCCAAACAGTCGGCTCCCTCCCATCCTTCCCTACTTTTGGCTTGGACGGATTTTAATACTGGAAAAGGACAAACATGGCGGCCATTCTGCTATGCATCATGGGACTAGAGGGCGCACTATGGTTGATCAGAAGTTTTAGCGAATTGAATCAGACGCAAAGGAATTTACATATTTAGCGACTTTATAGGGGTATGAATAATTCTGTGAATTGTATACCACAGACCGTATGCTACTGTTGGGTTTTCAAAATTTCTGGTTATTATTTTGTGGACATTTCGCTTCGATCTCATCGGTCCACATCTGTCCACATCAAACCACTCAAACACTGTTTCCAGACCAAGCAAAACAATAGGCATTCCAGTCTACACTTTTCACAAAAATGAATGTTGACTTGCATGTATTATTCCTTCCCCCCAAAATCCATCAGGCTTTGTTTGAATGTGATCAAAATGCCTTAACCCTAACAGTCCTGAATCCTCCAATTTTAATATAATTTTGCACATATCCTAGGGAGTTAGGGTTAAAGAGCACCTCAAACGAAAATCTATTCCTCTGATTTTATCTGTTCAAATAAATATGGAAGCATCCAAAATCGAATGCAGTGTCATTTGTCTTCAGAGTTAAACTATAACAAGCTAAAAAGGTATTTTTTTCTGTTCATGCCAAGATGCGAATTCTGAATGTAGATTGCATCATTCGGAGAAAGCAGAGAAAATGAGGAGAACCCTTGCCCTGTGTTCGTAAGTGGATAAACCCTTGCGCATGTCGAACAGTGGTTTCAAACAATGGCTACAAGCATTGTTTGGCATGCACGGCAAGCTTTTTAGCTTGTTATAGTTGAGCTCTGAAGACAAATGACACTGTTCGATTTGGATGCTTCCATATTTATTTGAACAGATAAAATCAGAGACAAGATATTTTCTTTAGAGATGCTCTTTAACCTGAAATGTTCCAAATGGGTCTTCACGTGCCAGTTTCCAAGTAGTGGTTTTTGATGAAGTCTGACTATACCATCAATGTGCGTATCATTTGAAAGCATTGTTACCAGATTATTGCAATACAGCACGCAACTTGGCCAAATTAACCCTTTATTTCATGATTTTTTTTTCTTGCACACAAAGGTGCATGACTGACTGAAGTCAGCAACATACTTGGCAAGCATTGTTGAAAACGATCATAACTAGCAAAATATTTATTGAAAATTTGTGTGAGTTACATGTATGTTGCAAAAGTTGATCTGTCCATTTGAATCATGCCTTTTTTTGTTTGGATTTTCCTTTTATTTGAGATAAGATTCCTGCATCAGAATTGTTGCTTGCGTGTACGTGTATGTACCCACAAACAATACAGACTGCATCATGTCTTGACAATTGCTCCTTCCTGATTAAGATTTTCCTTATCTTTCAAGTCATTAACAATCCTAGGTATCAATCAATACCAATATTTGGTATAGGAATATTGATATTTCAGTAAAGTACTTAAAATATGCAATTTGTTTTCATTTGTCTCTAAATACAGTATCAGAGACTGGAGGCAGTCTAAGCCAACTGTCAAGCCACACCAGACACAAATTAAGAAGCTTCAAGTCTACAGTGCATCAACATGACCAGAGCTTAAACTACTCAGAAGTAGATGTACATGTACCTGTTGATGCCACCACAACTTCTGCCAGTCCCAGTCCAAATTTGGGCAGCAGAAATCCATGCAGAGGATGTAACTCTCACCCAGGGCTGACCATCAGTGACGAAGCATCTGATTGGATGCCAGGAGAACAGAATGAAGCAGGGAGTGATGAAAAACTTTCAAATACCTTGTTGACATCCACATGCAGTCCATCCTTATCTGCACAGTTTGATGGGAACATGCATTCATCTGTAACAGGGAGGGTTCAGTTTGCCTTAGAGGAAGAAAGGAAATGTTGCCCAGACACAACCAAGGTCTCTACTAAAATGTCATTGCCGGTTGATGGTCCAATGAGAGGTGTTAAGTACACCCCTCTTGAACTGCAGTTTATGGAGATCAAGAGACAACATCCTGATGCTGTGTTGTTTGTGGAGTGTGGCTATAAGTACAAATTGTTTGGGCTGGATGCTGAGGTATGTGGGAGTTCACTATAGGGCTGGAAATTAATTAAGTATACATACATGTAAATGAGTCCCAGAAATGTCCAGAAAAATACTCAGAACTTTTCAGAACACAGGCGGTCCTTTGAGCATTTAAAAATCTTCATATCATCAAGTACATGTACCACATAAGTGCAACCATTTCCAGCACTTCATTGTAATGAATATTAAGTAACCTCTATGAGTCCTTCCATTGGCCAGTTCCTCACCATGTTGTTTACTGAGTTAGCTGTTTATTACTCATATTGTTGGATAACATACATAGATTTCCACCACTGTAGTGCGTGCAAAGAGAATGAGAGCACATTTGTGAACTGGTTACACACCAAGGCTTTGAGCAAAACAATGCCGCACGGGTACCAGCTACACAGACTTCATGCGATATACATACATGTACCTGTAATTATAGTATACATGTACATCTGTATACTGTGCACTGTGCTTGGTTTTTTTCACTTTACAAGAAGTCACTCTTAAGTTGCTCTTTTTCCAGAAGACATTTTTTCAGTCAATAGAAGTTTGAAATGTGGGAGCTACTTGCTCCCATAGACTGCAAAATCTGCAGACTATCAGTACATATACAGTTGTACCTGCTCCTGTGCTGGTGAGCCCAATTTTAGTGCCTCCACTATTGTCAGCATCACTGTAATCCTTCTTCATACAGCATAAATACAATGCATTTATGGTTAAGTTTGATTTGTCTGCAGCAAGCATTTGTCTGTGCTCAATTCTTACATGCCGTTATGATTGGTATTTTTTCATAATGTGCACATGGAATAACCTTGGTCATGACATTTAATTATCTTTAAAATTAACTCCAATAAGAGTTTAAAGAAATGACATGTAGCTGATACAAGCAACCCTCAAAACTGGGTACTAGTAAACGTATGCATATACATGTATATGTATATGCATATGTAGCCATGGTATTAGCTCTCTGTTCTGTTATAACAGCTGGTAGCTTCACATAAAATAAGGAAATAAAAATGACATACATGTATAGGGCCCTGGTGATAGTAATAGACTTAACAAAAGGCAAGGTCCATTATCGTATGGCCTCTCTCATTTCAAATGTTTGAAATAAATTCGTCTCACTTGTATTCCCTCTCACGAATACCTTTCTGGGTGAAAGAGTTAAAAAAATGGTGATCTCTGGTAAGTTTCCAAGTTTGAGCAAGTATAAGAATGTACATGTGTATGAGCATGTTTCAACACTCTAAACTCTCAAACACTCTGACTCTAAACTACTTGAAGTCACTGAATCTTGATTGACCTGGCTCTTGTACATGTACTGTACAAAAGCGAATGCCCACCTGTTCTTGTTCTGTAGTTGTTGGGACAAACGCTCAATATTTTACCTATTTTGTGGAGACCAAAAAATTTAAGGGGACACAAATGTCCTCACAATTGGGTCCAAATTTACCTCACAAAAGAAATTTTCCCTTAATGAAGTGAATGCCTAGTCGTCATCTTGAATGATGGTATTATCAGGTGATAAGTCACATGACATTTAATGCGCACCCTTTAAAACCCTGCATACATGTATATCCTAAAGTAAATAACTATCCAATTGGGTGGAAATTTGGCAGAGAGCATATGCAAACATGGGAAGACATTCATAAGAAAGCTTATACATGTACATGCGATATTGCTAATTAAAAAAAAATCCGTATAAAATCAAACATGGCCCTCCGCAACATTCTGTTTGTAAAATTTGGTCTTCAATTCATCTTGTGTGGGTCAAAACCAGAAGTTGGCTAATTGTTTAAAAATGTTAATAGGTATCAACTTGCTTTCAATGGTGTTAGTCGATGGGGGTACAGTATTCTTCAAATCATCTACTGAGGATGTCGCATAGTTGTCGAGCGCCCTCTGGTGACAGGTTGAAAATTGTGAAAACTGAATTTTGAATAGATGTCCGTGGTGAAGTTTGTTGGAATAGGCTGGAATTCGATGTGGATGATGATCTTTACCCAGTTCACACGTGTGAAATTTGGGGCTGATGACGTCATCGGACTGGAAGTTATATTAAAAAGTCATTTTAGTTCTTCACAATTCGGTAACAAATCAACCGTATTAGATTTAAGGGTGAATTGTCCATTAGATGATAGCTAAAACATTGAGGTCAATTGCATGAAGTGCATAACTGGTGTACTTCTTCATACAGATGAAGTGCCAACCACAAAAACCCCTTACAATATTTGCAAACTCAAAAATCCTTTTCACATTGGCTACTGTGTGCATGGACGCACAGTATCTGCCTTCAATGTAGGCAGCGCAGCACACAGTGCATAGGGCATTTACTCAGGAATTGGCAAATTTCCAAGCACATGGTGCTGAGAGCAGATCGCATCGTATGGAATGCCAAATTGAAACGGGACAGATTGTTTAAAATCTGTAGTCTCCTGCATTCACATACCCCCTGCCCAGCCTACATGTGCAAATTTCCCATGTGCCTATTACAATTTGCTGAAAAGACTGATGATGCATTCTGCCCCTCGACCCTCCACATTGCACTGCAGTCCTTCCGCCATGTTTGTCCTTCTTTTCTCAGTGCCTTTCATTTACAGACGTGTCTTCATGGCTTTTTCGGAGTTCTGTAACCTTTTGCCTTTGTGAATTGACTTGTTTCCTGAGTACGAATAAAGAGTGTTTTCTGTTCAATTGGTAAGAGTGCTTTCTTTTGTACTTTGTATTTTTGTCATGTATCTGCCCCTTTTTCTGTGCATTATCTACAGGTTTGGGTGTGACCTACCATTGGATTGTGTTGTGTATGGCCGTTGAATGGGGCTAGCGGGCAACCCTTTGTTCTCAATGTGGTGCGTGCATTTGAACAATAATGGCCCCACGCTGTATGGGTCTGGCCATGGAGTGGAGTTGGCGGGCTGCCTCGCTCCTTTATGGTGCGGTTTGCGTTATCCAAGATTAACGGTTGAACGGGGAAAGACCCAGTGGAATGAATGGGCCAGGGTTGAATGAGCAGCTGCCGCAACACTACCCCTGAGCCTTATACTGCATTGATCGGGTTGAGTGAGCAGTTGCCACAGCACCACCCTTGATCACTGATGACTACGTTGGGGGCCTACCAGTTCTGCCAAGCTGACACTACCTTTGATCACGGTTGACCAAAGCCTAACAAGTTGTTCCTTCTGTATGCTACAGGTACTGAGCATTGCTACCTGCCACCTCCCCAAGCAACCCTACCAACCGAAGGCCCAGCGGGGCTCGCGGGGCAATGGCCCGCTGTCTGCTCCAGGTCCTCACTGGCTGCTTTTCACCGGGTTATGTCCGCTCGGAAACTGGGCCAATCAACCCCCTCCAAGTGGGCAATAGGTTCCACAGCTGGCTTGCCACGCTCCACCACTTCAACCGCAGGTGAGCCTTTGGTACAACTTGGCACCCAGCCTCAAGCTACATCGGACAATGCTAGCCCTTTTGGACTGCTACGCTGCTGGGACTTTTGTCCGCCACACCCATCCGCAGTTTTACAATGACCTCTGCTCTTCCAATGGACTCCGGACAAGAGACTGCCGATCCTGACCCGGGACACTCCTCCCAGGATATGACCAACCACTCGGGGGATCCCAGCCTGGCTGCATCTCCATCCGTTCCGACCTTTGACGACAAAAACTAAAAGCGCAAGGCCAAAAAATCTTCTTCGGCTTCTTCTTCCTCATCCAAGGCTAAGAACAAATGCCACTCTTATCCGAATCCACCCCAATGCATGGCGACCCTCTAGTCCCTCTCGGAGGCCTTCACTTTTCTCGCCCGCAAAATAGACTCCAAGCCTCAGCCAGCAGCAACAGAGCCTGACCTGGACCCCCTTCCGGCCGTTCCTCCTCCCACACAAGGGGGCACCATTGGAGGTTGAAGCGGCGTCTGTTCTCCAGCCAGACCAGTTCTTCCTGCGGGATCTGGTTCCAGATCGTGGCAACTTGACTTGCTCTGAGCACAGTTTGGCTCCTCCCCCTCCCCCTGCGGGCCTTCAACCGCTTTCTTCCAAGGATGACGTTGACTCCATCGCTGGCCTGACTCAACTTGGGGGCCGTTTGCTGCCTTCAGCACGACATGGTACATATTCTCGGACTCCCATCTTCGGACCCTACACCTGCAGAGCAAGGACACACTTCATTTAAACGTCACCCTTCACACCTCGAGTCTTCCCAGAGATCCCTCTGGACCACTCCTGCATGGAAATGATACATGTCCTTGCGAATGGTAAGCACTGGTGTGCAATGCTGTCCAGGGCTCTGTGCTATTACGGCTTCCCCCAGGAATATGCCTCTCGCTTTCAGTCCTGGACATCCCTGACACTGCCAGAGACAAGGTCTCTTCCAATGCCTGTAAACGCCTCACCTTCTGCGATAAAGACAAGGCCAACTTCGAGTCGGTTCTTCGTCACCTGGATATAGCTTCTCGCTTCGGATGTTAGGCCTTTCTCCTCCTCCTTTCGGAATATATTGCACGGGCCTGCGAGGAGGACTCTCCCATCTCACCTGACTTTATGGCCCTTGCCCGGCGTGGGCTTGACGAGGGTCTTAACTCCGTCTTTGAGTAGTTCACCTTCATCTCGCTTCTAGCTACTTCAAGCAGCAGGGCCAACACAGATGGATGCTATGAACATGCCCAATGAGTCAGTCAAGAACAAACTTCTTGATCTGCTGCTTCTCGGGGATGACTTTTTTGCCGGAAAATTTACCGCCGAGAAAATTCCACTCTGTGAACTCACAGGGCCTCTGCTTCAGCAGCCACCACCGCCACCAAGACAGCAGGCAGGCCCATCCCCATCTTCAGGCTATCCCTTTAGCTGTCCGTTTCGGTCAGCAGCTCGGTCACTAAACCCCCGTCCAGCTCCACCCTTGACTGCTCCTAGAAGGTTACAGCCACGACTCGCTGGTGGTAGGTTCACACCCTGTGCCCCCGGTCCCTTCGGGGGACGGTGCCGGTGACTACTCTCCTTCACCTTTGACGGC